ATTTCTGCCATGAGAAAGGCAGGCACTGAGGCGCTGGGGAGGGCACGAGGGGCCCCCCAGAGGGACATGACCTTACAGCCAGGCAAATGCCAGAAAAGCCACCTGGCAACTGGCCACATGAGGCCTGGGGCCGGCTCATCACTGCACACACCCCTCTCTCTGCGTGGGTGTCTGGGAGGGCCTGGCCATGTCCAGGAGCCACAGAAAATCAGTCCCCAGCACTGACTGAGGAAGCACAGGGCAGACCGCTGGTGGGAACATTTGCTGCCTGAGGATGCAGGTGAGCCTCAATCCACCTGGAGCCCAACGCTGGCAACTGGGTAGGAAGGGTGCTGTCAGCCAAAGTGCACGGAGGGTGGGAGGCACCATGGGCTGCAATGCTCCCCCTTGGTGCGCAGCCGGGGAAGAAGCAGCAGACCAGTGTTGTGACAGCGACACTTCTGGCTAACAGGAAGCGTAGCCAGGGTGCACAAGCAAGACCCTGATGTCAAAATTCAAGAATGAGAAAAGATGATGTTCGCCCAAAAGCTGAAGGGAAAGGGTGACTGCTGATGGGATGAGCTGAGGCAGTAAGAGAGGGCACCTTGGGGGCCGGGTGGGTGGAAGGTACCTTGCTCTGAGCTCTCTGACAAGGCGGCCTCGGCCTCAGCAGCAGCCATGCCACTCGTGGGGTCAGGCTTGAGCTCCACAGGCAGCGGCTCCCGGGGGGCATCGGCCTTCTCCGTCTGCTCTGCACCTGGGGTGGGGGTGTAGGGGCATCTAAGGCTGGATTGGGACCCTTTGTCCAGAGGCCACATGGCTCTCTGGGACCAGGCCCCTGAAAGTGGCTGTGGCCCAGGGGTGGGAAGAGCACAGCCGAGCTCAGGTGGCTTGTGCCTCTGCTCTGGCTGGACAGACACCTCAGAACAAGGGGTTGTGCTGGGTAACCTAAGCTCAAGGGGTGCAGTTGCCTGTGCCTCCCCACCTCCCTCCCCCAGGAGCCTCCTGAGGAAGCCCTGCATTGAGCTGGGGCCCACGCTGCTGGCACATGATGGACAGCCGGCTGGGTCACAACTCACCGCTGGCCGTGCTCTCGGCCTGGCCACCTCGCTCCTCCTTGAGCTCCCTGCCTGGGCCCATGGGTGGACTGCTTCTGGCCAGGTCTGGATCGCTCAGCGTGGTGGCAGCAGCCTTCTCCTCTTTGGCTCTCTTGCCCCCACCTGGAGATGGAACAGGATAGACCTGCCATTTCCCATCAAATGCCCACCAGTTGCATGGGTGAGTGGACCCTCCCTGGAGTGTGCCAGTTTGCTCCTTCCACAGATTATTCACAGGCATCTACTGCGCACCAGGCTGCCGGCTGGGCTGTGGGTACAACAGTTGTGGCTGCTGCTCCTGTGGGGCTTGCAGACTGTTCTGGGGGACAGACCTCTGATCAGAGATGGGTTCTTACGAGGAGAAGAGCACAGGTCTCTGCAAGTGCCACCAGGAACCTGGCCCACCCGGGCGTCAGGGCTTTCCTGAGGCAGTAAGGGGAGCAGGGAGGAAGGCTGCAGGAGAGGAGAGCTGCCAGAGGAGTGAAGCCCTATGCAAAGGCCGTGAGCCACGCTGGCTGCCCGGTGCCCTTGGGCAGCAGAGCACAAGGGAGCTGGTGAAAGGTGGGGCAGGGGAGGAAGAAACACCCCTCTGAGAGGCCTTCTTAGACTTTGCTGCAGCTCCTCCTCACAAGCTCCCCACAACACACATGAGGCCAGATGAGGACAATGGCCACACAGAGAGAAAGGGGCAGAGCTTCCATCAAAAGCCACCTGCTCAGGAACAGCCTGCCAAGGACCTTACCTTCCATGGCCGAGGCCTCCACATTCTCCCCAGGGCTGGCGGTGGGCTCAGCCAGTGACTTGAGGGCCTGGCAGGCTGTGATGATGTCTTGCATCTGCAGGAAACTGGCCACGGCCAGCACATCATCCACGTTCTCAGAGCTCAGGCTCAGCTTGGCCGTGTACATAAACTCCAGCACCTGTCCTAGGCCTGCCAAGGACACAGACAGCCATCATGGACCCACCTCAAGGCCTGGCACCAAGAGCCCGTCCAGCCGCTCGGTGGCAGGATCCAGGGATTTATGAAAAGCAGAGCGGCAGGCCACCACCTCCCCATCTCCCATGCTGGTGGAGGTGGGCAACCTGGGGATTCTCAGCGCAGGCAAAAAGAAGTCCACCAACAGAGGGCAGAGGGTGTGAACAGCCCCTCTATATGCTCTATACCCAGCCAATACACTTCACCACCAGAGGACACTCCAACCAGAGTGTCACCACTGGCTTTCATCGGGGCTCTGCCACAAACTCTATCTGAAACTCTAGGCCAGTCACCTGACCTCTCTGGGTCTCAGTTTCCACATCTGTAAAATGCGGGAACAACACCTTACCCTAATGTCTGGTGGCATATTACACCATTCTGGGTTAGAAACCCAAATCAAAGACCAGTTAGTTCCTTCCTCAGTCCCAAGGCCTTCCTGATACTCTTCCTGACCATAACCTTTTGCCATCCCCATCAAGGTTAGCACTGGGGTTGGGGATCAGGGCTGACTCAGCAATGGAAAGGGACTGGGGTCAGAGCTCACTCACTCTCTGTCCCTCCTGATGAGCTTGTCCTGTCTTGAGTCCAGCCTGGAGCTTATCGTGAGCCTTTCCTGCCAGCTCTCCCCTTACAACCCTGCTCCCAGCCAAAATAGGGCCCCACACATGGTAGGAGCTTCGTACTCGTGCACTCGTGGCCTGAGTCCTGTGTGAGAGCCCTGCTGCACCCCTTGAAGGTGCTGCTCACAGGAGGGCAGGGGCTGTGTAAGGAGGGCCTTCCACACCACAGGCCAGCCTGTGTCCAGCCCTCCGCAAGCTCAGCCCTGGACCCAACGGGGTACCTGCTGCGTTACTGATGTCCAGGTGTACCACATCCTTCTGGTCCACGAAGAGCATCTTGAAGTACTCGCTGCAAGCCGCCAGCACTGCTTTATGAGCCTTAAAATCAACACCGTCCACCACAAAGGTGCAGTCACACAAAAGCCCCAGTTGACGCTGCTGGTTCAGCTGCTCCAAGACGTGCTGGCTGTGCTGGGGAAAATCCATGGCTGGGGAAAGCCAAAGGGCCTTCATGTTAGCACAGAGGGAGGACGCCAGCCAGGCTCCGCGCAATCCCAGCACTCCCAGATGAGGAACGCAGCGGGTGGGGAGGAGTGGTGAAAACAAGTCCACAAAAGGCAGATACTCCAGGTGCCTCTGCGAGCCTGGACCGATCAGGGGCTCCTAGATTCCTGGCTAACTGGCTAGGAAAGTTCCCAAAATCAAAAAGCGTGGAGGGACCAGTATAAAACAGCCACCTTTGTGTTTTGCCAGGTAACAACATTAAAAAGTCAAAAAACAAGCAAACACAAAACACTGATTACTGTCAGCACTTTTTTAAAAAAGACACAGTTAAACACTGTTTACAAAAAGAATGCATAACAATCTTAGAATAAAGGACGGATCTTTTGATTGGATACATTTAGCTTTATGAAAACCTTTCTATTTTGTTCTTACTTTTCTCAGTGTGGCATGCACAGGTGAAATGCGCGCTTGGGAAGGCAGATGCTCCATCATCCAGCATTTCAGGAACTGCCTCCTCTCCAGCTACACCCACAGGGCTCTATGCAAAGTTCCTTTGTCCTCGGTGAAGCCTGGCCCAGGGGAGGGGGTGGAGCTGATTTCTCCCCCTCCCCTCCCCACTCTGATTCATGGGCTTGGGGAACTACATAAAGTTGGTGGTCCTCTACCCCCGGAAATCTCTCCAAGCTGACCCTGTAGAAAAGATGAACTCTGACCCTGATCCCAAGAGCTGCTGGCCTGGCTGCAGTTTCTCTGTCCTCACTCACTGCCTGGAAGTCCAGGAAGTCCAGGAAGTCACCTCAGGTGAAAATGCTCACAAAAACTCCATGTCCTGGTGCCAAGTAACCATGAACTGCACGGGCCACGACTTAACACACACTGAACACAGCTCCCCACTTCCCCTCAACGCCACACCAGAGGCAGTTTCAAGATCGGCATTTTCCAGGGAAAAGTCACAGGTTCTCCTTTCGGGTAAGAAGCAATTTCCAAATAAACACCAACGCCCACTCCTGGGCCCACGTTACACAGATCCAACAGGGCTGGGCCGTCATGCCCTGCCTCGGAGTCTGCTAAGTGGCAGTGATTTCTCTTTCAGCTCTTCCAGAACCTCTCCTCTGAGGCCTGGGTCTGCTCAGAGCTGCCCCAGGCAGTTTCTGGGAAAGAGTGACACTTGGGGGCTCTCAGCCTCCAGGTTTCAGCAGCCCCTCACTGGCTCCAGCTGTTCCCGTTACATGGGCCTCTTGGGGATGAGTCACTGAGCTGCTGCTCTGGAGCCACGGTGACCACATACGGCTGTCTGGCTGTGATGAGACACAATGAAAGCCACGTCCCTGCACACATGGCTCAGCCAGCACTGATCAGCTTTGAAGGACACAAAGCCCACCCACCCCATGGTGTCTGGAAACTTTTTAAAAAGTCAGGGTACTCGGCGAAGTCACCAGGTAGGTGAGTGGGCTCAAATAAGGGGGTGGCAGGCAGTGGCAACACCCTGTGTGTCTCGGGGTGTCAGCCCTTGAATCAGAAGTTCAGAGTTGCTGCTGCTGGAGACTCAAAAATACCCTTTTCCTCCCTCCAACATCCCCTGGACTGTCCTCTGGCCCCAGGCTCCACACACAAGCTCCCCCAGAGGCACGGCTTCTTGGAGCTCTAAGATCACAACTGCCTATGGCTCAAGCTCTTCGGTGTAAGCAGGGAAGAGCCAGAGCCTGTCCCGGTGTCAAGAGGTCAGGCACAAAGCGGCTGCGCCCTCTGCATCTGAACAGCCCGCTCGGCGCCAAACCAGCCGGCATAGCACAGAGCCACCGGAGCAGAGGCTGCTACTGACATGGGACAGCCCACAAAGGCATGCTTCTCTAGGTCTTTAATCCCTGGAAAAAGCAAGGTCCCATTCATGACCTAAAGGGATGCAGGGAAGAGGTCTGGATGCTCTGTTCCTGAGCAGGTCGGAGCTACAACAGAGAAGTTTTTTGAGGACATAGAAGAGAACCAGTGTCCAGCCCATGGGTTAAACACCCAGGCCAGGGCACTCAGGCCTGCGACCTAAGGGTGTACACACCAGGCAAAGGGTAAATGGAACCAAAGTCACGTGGCAAGGAGAGGCCTGGACCAAACCAACCTCAGAGCTTCTTCTCTCTGCCGTGGAAAAAGCCACATGAGCACAGGTGTGTGCAGTGTGTGCAGCTGGCCACCGAGTCCCGATCACCACATCACCCCTTTGTCCTCAGGAGCCCCAGGTGAAATATTTCCCAAGCCTGGAAAGGGAGGGACGACCAGGGCCCGTGGGGCCTCCTCAGTCAGCTGCAGAATAATCCCTTCTGGCTCCCCAACTTTCACCAGGAGCCAACCCAAAAAGTGGGCTGGGAGGAAGTATCTCCCAGGCTCAGAAACAACTTGGGAGCATTTTGGCTGAACAGCACGCCAACCCCACCCCCCGAGGTGGAGAGTTGTTCCCAGGCCCCTGGGCTGGAGCCTGCTGAAAGCTGAAGCCTCCAGCCAGAAAGCGATCTGACTTGCTGGGAAGATAAACGTGAGAAAAGACTCCTGGCCAACGGGGTGGAAGGGACCTGCCAGCTCAAAGGTCAGGTGATTATTGGCCTGGCCTGGGACCAAGGCTGTGACAAGCCCTCACGCCGTCAAGTACCCCGGAGTTCCCAGGGAAAGGGCAGCAAAGCCCAGGACTCCTGGGGCTGGACACATGGGAGGCGGGGGGGCGCTCATTGCTAGAGGCCTCAGGGGAAGGCCAGTGAAGGTCCCTGGGAGAGGGTGGATGGTGGCCCAGTACCTGCAGTCCCCACCCCCCACACACACACAGGGGAGCAGCTGTGCGCCACAAATAATGTTTTCCCCCCAAAGCCAACCACGGTTTTCTGATGCCAGGTGCCCGCCCAGAAGTGGGCTCCTCCCCAAATGTGGGTGTCGGGAGCACACAAGAGGCTTCTGGAATCCCTCTGAGGCAGCCTCTGAAGCTGTTCCAATAGAGACACAGTCCTAGAAGAGCAGCTGATCTGACAAAATCAAAGAAGGAAAAGTGACAGAGAGAACAGGAGAGGATAAAAGGGAAGGAAGAAGCAGGGAAAGGAGGGAGAGGAAGGAAGGAAGGAAAGAAAAAGGAAACAAGAAGGCTGTCCCCACAGAGAAGCAGCGCTTCAAACGTATGTTCAGGAGCCCCATCTTGTAACCAGCCCCTTTGGGGGGTATGCCTGCCAAGTGCTAAATGGCGTCATTTGTCAACAGCCCAGTGGTTTCTATAACCACGCCCCCCAGGAACAGGTGGAGCTCAGAGCCCCCAGCCTGTCTCCCAGCCTCACCCACGTGTCCTCCACCAGCTGGCTGCCTGCTGACAGGTCCAACAGCCCCTCTCTCCCTAAGGCTACGTGGTGAGCAGGTGAGGGGCCAGCTGGCTTGGCCCTTCCCCTCAGAGGGGCTGAGCTGGAACCAGGCAGTGCCCCACCTTCAAACTGGGTGAACTGCTCTAGAGTGAGTGTGCAGTCCTCCGACTGTCTCCTGTCTCCGCTCCTATACTCCACAGTGAAAGGATCCCACCAGGATCTAGCCAAGCTTAGACAGAACTAGGAAGGAGGTGAGCAGGTGGTGGAGGATGCACCTGCCTGGGCCACACAGAGGGACACGGGGGTGCCACGGGCAGCAGCAAGGTGGGAGCTGCCCCTCCTGAGTGCGCACAAGGAGGGAGCCCTGTCTCAGGAGATGTGACACACAGTAACAAGATCAGCAGCCAGTCGCTTTCCGTTACCAACACCGATGTCACGTGCGGCTCCGCAGGCCTGCCCTTGGCGTGCGCACCCTTCACTAAGCACAAGTGCGGGGTCCCTTCCTCCTTAATTCATCTTGCTCCAAGGGCACTGCACGTGAGCTTTAGTTAAAACTACTTCTAGGAAAGACCCTGAAGACTGAGCACGACAGAAAACACAAACAGAACAGGACGGCACAGCCCACAGAGCCCAAAGCCCTCACGTCAGGCACTCGCCTGTTCAGAGCCTGGCCTGGCCTTCCGACCAACCCCTGACTGCAACGGGACACCTCCCCTGACGCCACCGTCTGCTCAGTGGATCCCTGATTAAAGAGGTAGACGTTGGGTGTCAGAGCTGGGGTGCTCTCCTGAGGACTGGCAGCCTGGCTGTACATGAGCTCTGGCCAGCTACACAAGGAATTCATTTGGGAATGGAAACGTGAGGGACCTGGGGAAGCCCTCAGGATGGTTCCAAACAGGCAATACGGACGTGGATGGTGTGGGCACAGACTCTGAGGATGGCTGCCAACAATCCCTCCCATCCAACCACACCTGCCATGAGACTCCAACTGAATCTGGGCAGCCCGGTGATGACTCTAACCAACAGGATGCAGTGACTCTGCCAGTTCCTGGCCTGGCCCTTAAGAGGCCTGGAAGATCCTCCTTTGCTCTCCTGACCCCAGCCACCCCACTGCAGGGATGTCCAGATGCTCCTGTTGGGGAGAGAGGACACACGAGGGGCCGTAGAGGAGACATGATGTGCACAGGCCACATGAAGAAGAGCTGAGATCCCCAGCTGACGGCACCAAGATTCCAGCCCAGCCACTGGCTGAATGCTGTCACATAAATGACCCCAACACCTCGTGGAACAAAACAACTGCCCAGTCAACCCACAAAATGGGGAGAAATAATAAACTGCTGATGCTTAAAGCCACTAAGTTTTGAGGTGGTTTGCTTACAGCAAGAGATAACTGATACAGATGGTAAAGCTGTAAAGAAAAGGGAATGACTAATAAAAAAAATTTCAGGATAATGGCTCTCTCTGGATGGGAGGAAGAGAAATCAGGTATTTTGTGAGATACTGCTGGGAGTGCTCTATTTCTTTACATAGAGATTTTTGTATAAACTAAACATGCACATTGCATATACTTTTGTATGGGAACATTTTTCAAAATTTAACAAAACTTGTAATAGGATTTTGTTAGGAAAAAGTGAGGTACAGGTGCCACACTCAATCCA